ATAAATGATCATCACTGATATCTGTTGAAGATTATTCTACAGTAAATTAGAATGCCACTCATTTGGAAAAACAGAGAAAAATACATAAAGCTCTGTTATATTACTGATGTTGACTAAATATCATTATTAAAATAAAACAGATGCAGTATTTCTCTTTGTGGACCACTGGTAGGTTATTTACTGATGAATCTTTTACACAGATTAAAAATAGAAAGGCACAGTATTTACTAAACAATTTGCACGCATGCCGCAGGCACATGCCTACAAAGTGTTTCCTCCAGAGGCATATGAAAACATTCACCTGTAAAGTTCACCTTCAATAAAGACAGCGGGATGCCAGAGCACCCGGGGACCACACTGTGGGGGGCCGTGTTTAAATATATACAGGGAGAGAGGCAACAGAGAGAATGCTGACTGTCAGCACAAATTACACAGACAGCTGTCAACTCCATCAGCACTTAGCGAAAATGAAAATCGCCTCTATAACTGCTACTGATATGCTGAACTCAGTATTGCACCTCAATGACATTCAAGAGCAATATATTTTTAACAAGAACATTTGCTACCTTTAAATCTCAATGCATGATGGACTGATTCTGTAGTGTCTCGTAGTTGACAGCGTGATTAATTACAGACATTATAAACGAAAAACGGTTTGTTATGTATGGATTGAAATGGACGTTTATTTTTCTGATTTTTATGGGGAAAAAATATGTAAATGTAAAACGCGCGAATTCACCACAAGATGTCTCTGTTTGTCCAGTTTGTAAATGGTTGTAAATGGTAAATGTAAATCTCAAGCGGTGACACGGTACCGCAGTGGTTAGCACTGCCTCGGGTTTCTGTGACCCGTCTTTACGTGTGTAGTTTGCATGTTCTCTACGTGGGGTGTTGCCTGCTTCCCTCCATGCCCCCCCACAATCCCACACTGGCCAAATGGGTGTAGATGGACTCTACCCTTGATATAGTGTGTGATTTTGGCAGGCATGACCATGAACAGGTATTTATGAATAACTGATTAATAATTATATTTTACAAACAAATTCCCTTGTGATCACAAGGATGTTTGCCCTAATTTTTAAGTCTTATTTGAAATATACAAGAAGAAATAATACCAGTGTATCAATTTCGAATGCCTTAAGCTTTTCAAATGAATATGACATTTACTGTAAATCACCACGGAAAAATAAAATGACCATTATGGCAGAGGACAGCATTAGATTAGAACAAGACCACATGTAGACCATAGACATAGACAACATTGGACCCATTTATAGAACATGTCTGCAGAGGCTCATTTCCGTAATGAGCAGATGTAGAGATAAGTTTCATTCTGATTGAGCTCATCATTCTGTCGGTGTTGTGCAGTCATTCTGCAGATATGCAATTATTGGCTGTCACCCCTAAAACAGCTTTGCAACAGAAAGCTGAGTGACTATCACAAGCTTCGCATTAAACAACGCGAGTGTCTGGCTGTAGCTAAGCAGGGCAGCTTTTCAGATCTCTTCCCCATGGGTCTGCTTGTGCAACATACAAAACACTAAACACCTATTTAGCTGCGGTGCATTTAGAACCTGTTCTTGTATTGTGCTTGTCTGTTGGTTTACCAGTATTATCAATCTCTATTTACAACTTTGAGAAGCTCTTTAGACATGTATAGACTGGACAGAATGTGTCCTTTAAATATGATTTATATTGTAGTTGTGTATGAGCCAAGCATTGAATCTATACATAAACAATATTTTCTATTGACTTACACTCCTCACATTAATTTGATATTATGCATTCCTAACGATTTTAACCCTGGCTTCAGAGTCTAACACCGTTCATTGCATTTCGGACATCATGGCTGAGTCATGTGATTATTTTGACTGTGAGTGTTAAAATGCAGGACAGTGATTCAGCCTTTGCAGTGCATCAGTGGTTTTTTTGTAGGTGGTTGTGGTGACATAAAACCTACACATTTAGTCATAGAATGACACCAGTAGCACAGAAGCAAAGAGGCTATAACCTGATTTTTAATACACCTTCTGGATTAACTGTGAAATTGATTGATTACCTTCACACTATGTCTATCCCATGCGTCTTCAAGAAGATGGCACAAGGCTGGCATTCACCCTGGGCAGGATGCCTTTCCGTCACCCATTATAATAGTGCAAATGGACAGCAGCAGACGGGAGGTGTGAAGACAAGCAGGGCTGCTGTAGGGCTTATGTCCGGCCAGTAACTCACGTTATTAATAACTGCTGTGGTCGAATTTGCCTGTGATAGGACAGCAAGAGTGGAGGCATAAGCTATTCATTAACTATAGGAGCTCAACCCTAGATTCATGTATTGCATATTTTAAAATACTCATAAGCAAAGTGAACACTAAGGATTGCTGATGATTAATAACTTCGGTGAAAAACAACTGGAACCTGCAAAAGACATGTATTGCTTGGCCTTGCGCTGACATTTATTGGAGCTGGCAAGTTAAAATCAAATGATTTGGTTGTGATCAACGTCCAGACATCTCTCCAAGAACTCAGTGAGTCAAACGTGTTGAACCTTTCTGAGGGCACAGCAATGCTGCAGAGATAGTCATAGCAAAAGAAACAAATAACTGGCCAATATAGAACCAAGATGCACCAAGAAATTTAAATATGATATAACTGGAGACAATCCGGAGAAAATGAGATGCTGATTACATCTCACTTTCAAACTTACAATCTTAGAGTGTATACATATACATACATTTTTATTAAGTAGACCACCAGGAGAAAAAATGCAGATGTCTCATGACACTCATTTTCAATATAAACATAATTTTGGCAATCTAATCTGAAAATCTTCACAAAGTCTGACAAGAGCTTTTCTTTTGAGGTTTGACATCTCATTATCTTGTTAAGTAGCTACAGTTTGTTTACAAATACATCCTTGCAGCAGAAACTGTCAGACAACCAAATGCCGGTTCCAAACACCAGGAATAATAGCATGAGAACCTGAGAAGAATGTAAGAAAAACAATAAATAAGTGAGCAAGTTGTTCAGTCTGCTCCAATAATGGAAGAGGCAGGGGTTGAGTTGACAGGAGTATCACCGGCTTAGTGAAAGATGATTTTTAAAAGTGATACATACTGTCTGTATGTGCTGGCCAATAAGATTAACTGTTGCTGGATAGATTTGACTGAGACAGAGCAACAAAATTGTGAGGTAGTACTCCTATTAGATTTTTAACTTGCAAAATTATGGACAGCATGGGACAGTATTCCCTTAACAGTGTTATGGTATAACAGGAAATTAAAACCACAATTTTTCTTAGAATGCTCTATTCAATAATAATATTAAAAACTCTGAGTGACCTCAGAACAACCATTAGCAATGTTCACATAGGCATTAATAGGGCAGATCAGTTAATGCTGTCTATAATTTGGATTTACAGCTCTCTTATGCTCGTATTTCTGGCACTGAGATAATATTTCAGAAGTATAATGCTGCAGGAACTATATATAATTCGGGATCCAGCCTGGCCTCAGTGAGGAGCTGAGCACAAAAGCTCACCAGGATCCAAATGTCACAGGCAGCCCCTATTTAAGGTCTAGAACTGAGTCACCGACTCATACTTCATGAGTGTATATGTTCTGGCAGCTGAACAAACTAAAAGAAACTAAACAAATGTATTCTCTCTGGCTGAGGCACGCAGTTCCTATACGAAATGAACACGTGAGACGGCACCAACATTCATCTGAAGTGCAGTTTGCAATATACAGTATCATATTAAATATTCATGTTATGTAAATACTGCCATTTTTCATTCACAATAATGTTTAGCCATAAGACATATTTAGCCTGTGATGCCTACATCGGCATGGCGTCTTGTTTTCTTTTGGCTTGCAAATTGTTTTAGAAGCGAATGTGGATGCTGGGCTGTTGGATTAAACAAAGCAAGCCCATGAAGTTTATCATGAGGAATGCCCAGTTCTTATGATTTTGTGTATGTTTATTTTAATTGGTATCCTGTTCCTTTTACAATTTCCAGCATTTTTCTCAAAATGAAGGAACAACACGCCAGTTTCTTATGCGGTAATTTTTGCTCTCATGCGACGGCACCAATAAATGGAAAAAGCAGTTAGTAATCAACAACATCCACTGATTACTCCCTTTTAAACATACATTCACTTCCCTCTATCATATAGGCCTATGTACAAGACAGACAGCCGAGTGCTAAACAAATTAAGTTATTAATCAAGTGCACCTCTTCTGATATAAATACATGGGATTGAGTGCAAAGGCAACCCACACTGGTTGTAGCTGCCTCTATGGGATGGGCGACACGTGTTGCTGTATTCTGTTTCTTCGCCTGCTTGACTACTGTGATGGCTGCACTGAAATAGCACGCGCGATAACAGGAGCACCAGCCGTTCTTTCAGCTGTTAAGGGATTTCAGGCAGGACCAGCCATCCATCCAGCCATTTTCTGAAGCCACGTGTCCTATTCAGGGTTGCAGGGGGTGCAGAGCCTATCCTGGAGGCTATGGGTGAAAGGCAGGGAACAACCCAGGATGGGGCACCAACCCATCACAGGGCACACTCACACACTATTCACTCACACAAGCACACCTATGGGTAATTTGGAAACTTCGATCAGCTTCAACATGTTTTTGGACTGTGGGGGGGAGAGCACCCAGAGGAAACCCCATGACAACACAGGGAGAACATGCAAACTTCACACATATGCACCGTATCATTTCCCCAGGCAGATACCTGACAGAACCTGTAATACTTTGCCAGTGACATAGTTTCCACATAAATGATTCTTCCAGTGTGTGTAGAACAGGCTTTATAAATATGTCAATCCTCTCCTGTTTCTGCTGCTTCATACAACATGTTTATGTAGATATACCACAAATGCATAATTAAGTGCTTATTTTATTGCCAAGAACAACATGGGGGGGGGGAGATATTTCTTTTTATTTAATATTACGTGTCTAACTTTGAATCTGTCCATACTCTGACAACAGAAGACGTTGATGTTAAAACATTTAATGAGAAAATGCTTAAGCTATAAGCCACATGACAAAATCATAAACAGTAAAGATCGTTTGCCCTTTATGAAGGGAAAGAAATGTCACTAAATCAAACACATAGATAGGTGAGGTGAATAACATCAAAAACAATTTACTGGTACATAAAATCTGAACCTTCTTCAATAGCTGTGTATTTTTCTATTAAATGAAATTTAGGATCACATAGAGAAACTTAATTTTACTTATAATAATGATGTAGTTAATACAGATTTTGGATGATGAAGAATAGCTAGTTGTGGAAAAACAACCATGAACCATGGACCACAATGATATGGCATTTTCGTTTTTTTTTTGGTAGTTTAATTCAACAAAAGATACTGACTTTGATCATGCTACCAAAGGTGTCATTAGGTGGTTTTTATTACAGCATTTGACACAAGCACTTGCTCTCCTTAGTAGCTGAGGAAGAGATTTCATGTCTGTCCCTAAGATATCAACATGTCCAGAGAAATTCTGTAAAACAGGAATTAAGATACTGAGGTACTGTGAATGAATCACTTTTGTTGATGCATGTAAACATCATTTTTGTTGAGTAGTGTCCTTTGCATTTTTTTCCTCTGCAAAGAGTGCTGTTGGCTAAATGTTAATTGAACATTGTTTAAGCTCTTGAAATACAGATTTTTTTTTTAAAGTTTGACTGAAGTGGTACATGCTTCCAATACAAATGAATTATTGTAACATTGGGTTTTAAAAAAGGACATACTGTAAATGAAACCATTTATTAGAAAACAATCCTTCCAAATTACTTATCTCTAAACTAGTTTAATGAAGACAGTATTGGTACTCTTTGCAAAATAGAAAATTTTCCAAAAATAAATACTGTACATATCATACAGAAAAAAAATATCAATTTACTCTTCTTACATTAGCATGCTTTGCTACTAAATACAGCTGTAGACCTTTATATAGCTCTGTTAATTTCTGAACTGAGATCAGCTTCATATAAACTCTTTTCAAAGTGGGAATTGTACTTATATATTTGGAATTCTATAATACAAAAATCAATTTATAATATGAGAACAAACAATTTAAATCTACGGTTTTATTGAAAAGGTACATTTACAGGTAGATGTCTTTTTGTGTTGTACATACATATTAAACACTAAACACTTATCCTACATTTTAATGAATGACTCGTTGTAATTCTTAGTATGGATGTTTTTAAGGTTCTAAAAATACAAATCACTGTATCTAAGCACTTTATCTCTGCCCCCATACAATACAATTCTTTTAACTTGCACAGTAAACATTAAACACACTAAAGTGAATATAAATATCTAATGATCTGTACATTATTGCGTTGAGGGGCTGCAAGGTAACGTGCTATTGTTACTCTATTGCAAAGTAATGAAAGGCCAATGAATTCCCTACCAAAAAACAGGCAGGTAAGATAATGGATAATTGCCATATTTGACCTTTATTCTTAAAAAAAAAAAAACTTTAACTGCAGTCATCAGTCCAACCCACTGAGAATATGAACTGTAGCCTCCTTCAAAAGCATATGCTGAAAATACTCTTACTGAGACATGATTTATTATGGCTATCTGGGAGTTGTTCTCTTCTGAGGTGTTTGTGCAGAGAAAAACATAGAATCAGTAGGCAATAAATAAACCGAAATATAGCTCATTAACTACAACAATACACAACAGCACTTAGGCCCAAACAGCATTATACAATCCCTGACAACATCATGATGTGATTGAATTTTGCACGCTGTCCTATGAGATGGTGGCAAACCACATTACATGGGTAGGTGAAGTTGTCACTTGCCATTGAATCGGAAGACGGTGGAACTTCAAGTCATTCAGGAAGCAGTTTGATGTTCTTCATTCCTATTGTATCACATGTACAAGCCCTCAGTCGATCCAATTTGGTTCAGTCGGTTGGAGAACACCGTTGAGGGAACATAAGCTAAATCAACACACTGTCGTCTGAAGCACTCCCAGTCCTGTCAAGTCATAGAAGAATCCACGTTGCTGTGGGTGCAGCTGGGACCTCCATTGCATGACGTACGGCACTGAAGAGGCCCTTCTGGAATGGTCGCTCAGCCTGTGGAGGTTCTGCCTCCATTCTAGTGTGGATGAAGGGATTAATAAGGAGCAAATAGGATGGAACCCGCCGCTGGTCGTATTGGTCCAGGGGCGGCTCGGAGGAAGGAGGCTGGAAGAGCAGCCGTCTGGAAGAGGGAGGTGTTGGGTCGCGGGTGCAGGGAGATGGAGGGCACCGTCGTGGCGGAGAACGGGGCCGAAATGAAAGCTGGCGACAGTGGTTTCACCAGGTCTTTTTGGAATGCGAGTTTGGCCTGAGGGGAGAAGGGCAGGCTTATGAGTAAATATTCAAAAGAACCGTGAACAGAAAAAAGGAACTGTTTACATTCGAAAGTTGCCACTGAGCCATTATTTTTGTCTGAGAGCCTTACAAAGATATCAACCCATTTGAACTTTCAAAAGAATAGTATTTCTTTAATGTGACACACTCTTCACTAGAAATGTAAAACCACTGGGTTACTGTCACGAGAAATAGGTTCAGCTAGATTTAGTCAAACTGTTATATAAAGATTAATCATCCAATAGTCGGGCCAGATGATGTTAAAATTCATAGGAAGACTTAATTTAAGCCTCCAACCTCACATATAAAAAAGCCACTAAGGAAATAAATATTAGATGGTTCAAGCATTAATCCAAGGTATATTGGCACAGAGAGACATGGAAATGAAGCAAATTAATCCTTACTGCCAATGCGTTGGTGCTACGTTGCTGCTTGTTATAGGGGCTGTACTTGGGCTTTATGGGTTTCCCAGCCACCCTGTCTTTGTGTCTTCTGCTAGAAATGTGCTGCAAAGACAGCAGACCATCACTCATTCCAGGAAGCATTTAGGATCCATAATAATGTTATAATCTACTGACATAACAAGCAAGTGCTGTGGGGTAGAATGTGCTATGGCGTTAGCGTAGCGAGCGTCACCTGCTTAAGCTGAATCTCCGAGTTGACGTGCACGTCGCAGATCTCGCAGTGGAACGTTTTGTTTTGAAGCCCCGACCCCTTCGTCACAGCAGCCTGGACCTTCAGCTTGGAACCAGGTCTGGGATAAGCCTTAATGGGGCCGGCTCCGTTTCTGGCTTCAAGCATGGTCTTGTGCTTCGAACCTTCCGGGGCAAAAACAAAGTATCCGCAGATGACTAAATTTAATTAGTGCAGCCACTGTCGCAATGGAACTCTGGGCCATTGAAACACATTAAAGCATTCCCCAGTTAAAAGCACACATATAAAAAACACTTTTTTAAGTACTTCAAATTGAGGTTGCTTTGGCCATTAATACTATATGCAAATAATACAGAGTAAATAATTTAGTACTATTGTTTTAACTACCCTTATTTTATTAATTCATAAGTATCTATCCATTTCCAAGCCACTCATCCTGGCCAGGGTCCTGGACCCTATCCCAGACGGCACACGGCACGAGCCTTGGCTACACCGTGGGATTCCAGTGCAATGGGGGACATATACACACACACACTCACAACTTGATATATCAGCTACTGTGCAGACTTAACCTAAAACAATGCAATGAGACACCCTTACACCACAGATAGAAACCAATGTTTACGCAGCTGTCAGTGAAGGGTTAAATGTGTTAAATAAACTTACATAGATCATTGTCAGCAAGCCAAATACGTCAGTGCTAACGATAAAAACTAATCTTGTTTTATATTAACAATTAACAAAGATGTTATTTAACCAGCTACCTAGCTAACAGCATTATGCTGTTAAAATGAGTAATCTGTACAAAGGACCATCATGAAAACAAATGTTACCTACTACCAACATAAATACTAGTTAGATTACTTCATAAAACATCTCTTCATTGGTCAGTTACTGTAGATGTCAAACACTATCAGTGGACAGAGGAGAATGGGGTTGTTCCATCTATAGTCACAATAAAAGTCACAATCGTTAAGTAGTGGACATACATGGTTTTCAATAGACAACGATATTATATTTATATATATTACATTTGTAAAAATGTTACACTATAAAGTGCACCCCCTACATTTGATATTTTATCCAAAAGTCTGAGTAAAAACGGTGTTGAGAGATTTCAGTGGCCCCCTGCAGGCATCACAGGGAAGCCCCGCGGGGAATGACATAAGCACCTGAGTTGTGAGCCTCTAGCTGGGAGAGCGAGTTGACGGCCACTTTGCATAGCGAACAGTAGAGAAGCTTCTTGGCCTTTTCCTCCTCAGACTCATCGGTGGGTGCGGGGGTCTGCGCCGGCGTCTCGGCGGGGGGGAGGGCAGCCAGGGGCTCCGGCGCAGGCTTGCAGAGGCTGAGCACTGGGGCCGCACCAGCAGTGGGGGCAAAGGGTTTAGGAAGAGTGGCGGCTTTAGGCACAGTGGGGGTCGCCTCGTTATTTTCTGGGGGAGGGGGGATACAAGTTGACAGTTAGTACAGCAATTGTATCTTCATAGATTAAGGGCAACACTCATACACACAAAAATCTTCTGACGCGTTTTTTCATTAAATGTCATTTGCGTAACCTCCTCCCACACCCCGTCTGTCCCTGGAGGTGCTTCCCCTGCACGATGGGCTTTACTGTCCCCTTTTCCCCGCTCTGACCCTGTCACCTTGTGACTCGGCATCTGCACGCCGTGCAAACCATCGCAACATCCCTCTGAGAGGGAACACTGCTGATTTCAGCAATGTCATCTGCAGTTCATGACACACTCTATGTGGATAGCCAGCCAAAACCGGCTTCTCCAGCGTAACGCACGCTAAGCACTGATAAGCATCAGTAGACAGTTCTTCCTTTTCCTTTTTTTTGTTTCATCCGCATTTGACTTCTGAATTAGTCATTTCCAGTCCCACCAGACAGCTGCCTGACACAGAGACTACAGGAGAGCTGGATCGCCTCCCGTGAGCGACTGTGTTTACGCTGCAGGTGATGACGCTGCCCGGAGAGCCGCATATTTTCAATTTTATGCTTCAGACTCTTAACGCTTGCATGCGTCTTCCTACAATAACGTTCACCAAATTGGGGACAAAAAGAATAAAGAACCGATTTTCATTGGCCAGTCTTACTCTGTCGAAAACAAATCCATTAATCCGAGCTTATACCATGGTTACTAGTTTTGGGAAGGACAGTCAGTGTAAATTCACAGAGCTTGCTGGATTTGTGGATAATGGAGAGTGCTGTTTAAAAGCACCATTATATAAAGCAGAGAAGTTTAACTTTCAGCAGTTTCACTTTTTCAAGTTTCTCACCACAAATTAAATTCAACTTCATCCTCTCCTACTAGGATTTTAAATATTTTTTTTTTGCTAACAATTACAGATGTTGTGCTAGAAGTGTCCATTTGGGCCTGAACAGAGCTTACATAAACCCAGGAAGAGCACAGCGGGCACCGGGCGGCATGGTGTGCACCACCATGACATTAATCCTCTGTGATCTACGAGGGGATATCAAATATTAATGAGGCCCTTGGTTGTGCTGAACTGTCATCCGAGGAACTTTCTTGTGCATGATAAGGGTTGTGAAATCAGTTAACCACTCTGTGGGGGATCTAGACCCCGTGCTGCCTATGTCAGAGGGTTCAGCTTTAAAGAGCATGTATATACGGGGTTTATGTGCCATTTTCACCATTTCTTGACCTTCTGCATGGGTTCAGGGGAAGGTCAAGATATTTTTGCGTTATTTAAGTGAAGCACCAGACCTCAAAATTATACACACAAATGAAATGCATAAGGGAAGAACATTATTAGTTCAGTAACATAGAAACACAAACACATAGAGAAAATATAATGTAAGGAAAAATTAAGAATATAATAATGATGTTGCTGAGAGCGGAAACAGTCCACACAGCAGAGACAATCCTATGCTGTCTGACCTTAAGAGAAAATTATTCTTTTTGAGGTAATGTGGCTCTGATACAGATGTGACCAAGATGAATAGCACTGTCGCTATGACCTTCCCTATCGCTCGACTCGTACCTCTCTCTGCTTACACCATCATGCCTCCCAGTCATGGGTTTCAGAAACCCTTAACACACATCAAGTAGGACTGAAATCTGAAATGACCACCCAGGCCGGTGACACAAAAGGGATTTAATTCCACCAAGAGTGATCTGATTACAGATATGTCAGGCCAAACCCCTCACCTACGCTCAAGGAAAGGAGGGCCGCGCCGTGAAAGGGGGCTTGAACAATGCACACTTACCTCTTCTCACGAGAATGAGCTATAAGAGGATGGTGATGTGGTTTCAAACGCCCCTGAGCATTAAATCCAAATGAGCTTGATGCTCTCGTCTCACAGGAGCCTTTGAATAAGTAATCCCCCCTAGCGGGACCAAGGCATTATTCAGGAGCAGGGGAGTAACAAAGGAAAACAGAGTGTGTGTGTGCACGCAGCAGCGCATGCATGTGCACACACATACACACGCACGCAAGCCAGTGACAAAGATCAATGACGCTAACAACAAATAAATAAAAAAGCAACTCAGAGCATGCACATCACTCACAGGAGACACGGCGGACGAGAACAAAAGGAGCCATTAACCTGGTTGGTCAGGGTTGTTGGCAGTGCCTGCCGCTGTGATGGTGATTGTCTTTGCCTTGTCCCTGGAAGGAGCATTTTTCTGCTTATTTTTCGTAGACTCCTGTGCTTTGAGCTTCTTGGCATGTTTGCTGCCTTTGTAGTGTGCCTCGGCCTGGCTCTACAAAGGAGAACAAATGAACCATGCGATCAGGCTCATTTCTAGCATGGTATCTCCTCGTGGCCCAGACACTCAAGGAAAAGACACAGCTTTTAATAGTAGGCACCATTTTCAAAGGGACTGGGAGGGTGAACTTCAAATATTTACACATGATTGACGAGTGTGATTCGGTTGTCTGCTCTAAAGTTCTGGAATGTTCTGTCAGCTACTGGGAAAACTATTAGAATTTTGGGAAAATTAACATGTGAAACGGGTGTCCATATTGTTATGATATTTAAATTTTAATACAATTGCATGTGAAAAAAATAACTAGAGCATTTATGAGCACAAAAGAAGAACCCCAGAAGCAATTTTTATAGTAAATACAGAACGTTTGTTATGATATCACTGTAACAGAAAATGAAATGAGAATACGGAATACTGCTTGAAAGTAATCATGGTTAGGTGTCCAAGGGAATAGAAATTGCTAATGCTATAATGAATTCAAAAATATTTCTCATTGCCCAAATTAATTTCAGCATGTAAGAAGTCCTACTGGTTTATTAAATTGAAGTCTCTTGTGTGCATAATAAATCAAATCACAACTATTGCATACCACAATTCAGTGTTTAGGAGTTATTCTGGGAAATATGGCATCTTATAGAGCAGCAATATAAAGACTTACATATAAAAAAAGCATTGGAACTAGAAGTAAAATTAAGTAAATAAGTAATATGGTGTAGTTGTTAAGGGTGTGTTTATCTGTTGGTGTGTAATCTGTTAAAGGACAGTGTATAAAGACTAATGTTAGTCATCAGACAGCCAATTGCCTTTTATAAACTGTCTACATAGGTGCCTCTATTGAAAGAAACATATTAACTTCCACAGTTAATATATCTTTTTAAATAAAAACAAAACATAACTCAAGCATGCAAGTAATGTAATGATAAGGTGTAAGGAAAGAACAGTGCATATAGGTCTTCAAACAAAAATTTTATGTTATGCATTACTGTTTATCAGAAGCAGAGGACAAGGACACGGGGACACCGCAGAGAGACTGTCCACTGCCCGCTTGCTGGAGTGAAGTGGATGTGAACACACCAGCAGTACACAGCCACAGTGCACATCACAGAGAATACAAAGCCAGGACTGCGGTTTCTCTGCCACTACCAAGCCAACACTTGTCACCATCATTCACTGTCACTCGTGTGACCACAACCAAACTGGGCACACTCATTCGGACGAGGAGGCTAGAGTTGAATAAAATCAAAAACCAGCTGTGAGTTTTGCCTGTTTTTATTAGTCGCAGACGGCTGTATGGCTGTGCAGGACCGCACTCATATCCAAAGCTGACTATTTCTGTTTTAAGTAGCTCATTATATTTTGTCATGGATGATTGTGAGAAGTTCTTAAGTGTCTGAGTACCTAGTCTTATGGCTCGGAGTTCATTTTCAAGTCTGTGACCGTGCACCAGTAAAGAGGATTCCATGTGACCGGCATTTCTACGACATCTTCTCTCCCAAGCTCACTGTAACGCTTGCATGCCGGCAACATGGGAAGATCTGTGCCTATTACTGCATGGTTTTTGCGTAACCTGCAGTGTGCAAAACAGCTATCGCCTCACAGACAGCAGGACAGGATTGACAACAAACATCAAACCATGTGAGAGTGCCAGAATTTTTTTTTAAAACATCTCATTTCCAAGTGCTCATTGCATCAAGCCATGGAAGGTGATGTATTACATTTGATAAATTACAGAAATTATTATTTCGCCAGTCAGAACATTTCAGGCTCTATTTCTTACGGCTTGGCATATTACATAAAAATGTTACCTTTGACTGTCAGTATTTGCAAACCGAAAGACTTGAATACAATTTCAGCATAGCTTTTGTTGTCCCACAGTATTGCTTACATTATTTGCTGTTGTTACAATAGCCATCAAAAGGAAAAAATATCTGCAGCTATTACACATGGGCTTACTTGAACATATCATTCTTAGTTAATTCTATTACAGAAACCACAGTCCTATATTCAAGACTACATGAACACCAGTGCAGGAATTTCAGCATTAAAATCACTGGCTGTGTGCATCTTTTCCAGAGTGGCGTATGACTTTGGCAGACTGGCGATGAGATGCGTAAACGTTTTTTTTTGATCACATGGATGAATCAGCAATTATACAACACAAATGTTCTATGCACTCACGCCAACTGCCAAAGCTATAAGCCTTTCTTTCAGGTTGCTTTTCTTTTCAGTGTTCGAGTCGTATAGTTTCACCACTGAAAGAAAGCTGCCTTTCAAACTCATTTCAATCAAAATGTTGCACACAGTTAGATGTTAGATGTTGTTTTTCCCCTGAGCCATGATTCTGGAACTTTTGGATAATTTTCAAATCATCCAAATTTTTTCTATGACGAAGATTCAACTTCCTGCATTCTACTGTTGCCGCATTCCTTATTATTGCTCCAGAGAATAATATTCAAAATCAAGTTTTAATTGGTTTAGTTTTACAGGACTGAGGCTAGAAGCCTGTAGATCCAAATTATTTATCTACATATTTGGATGGATGTTAGTGTCAACATTATTTCTGCAAGTCTGTTTCTACCAATGATGGACTTACAGCAGAGAGAATATAAGGAATTGATGGCCGAGCCATTTTTTTTTTTTTTACCAAAGCTACCAGGAGCAAAACATGCATATACTATCTACAAAAAAAATCATATTTCATAATCCATGAATGGGGATGTACACACTAATATGGGTATAAACACTGATGGATCATCTGGTCACCTTTTCTGCTTTCTGCTGACCTTTCCAGCTTTTATTAAAATGCTGTTTTTCATTCCTCTTTCGGCAGTGGCTTCAACCATGCAAATACACCATGAATGCCAGATTCATGTTAGCTTTTCAAGCCACGGTGTTGGGAAGAAGCCAAATTGTATTTAAAAATCGGGAAAATGCTGGCCTCCTACATAATGTTACCTCACAGTGCTGATATTTTCTGACATCTTCATCCAGACATGGAAGGACCCTGAAAATCAGACCTCAACATCATTCTGTAGTTCAGGTGCGGGCTTCAGTCTCAGACCTTTATCTTCCACAGATAAGTTCTGCTAGAAACTGAACATTGCACCCTGCAATGAAACTCCCACTTCTGAATTAATCATACCTCATTATAATTAATTGGAAACGTTAACACTGAACAATGACATCACTGTTCATCCACCCCCCCCCCCCTCACACACACACACACACACACATATCTTGTTACTTTTCAATCTCGTAATGACTTAACAATGATCGTATCGCAAATGCCGCACAGTAAAATGCTAGACAATATCACTAGACAATATCCTTCACTGTAAGCGACTGAAGTCCTGAAATATTCTTTTAGGGACACTGTATTAACCCCTCGGCGAAGCCATGGAGGATCCTGTGTGTTAACTACATCTTGCAGGCAAGAGGATAATGAAACTTTAATGAAGGAAGCAGATCGAATGTGGGCCCCCGTATCTGCCATCTAGTCTTAATTTCACAAACATAATTTAGGGCTTGTAGCTTTTGGACAGTAGCCATGCCTTCCGCAACCTCTTATTTCAGAGAGATCAACTACCGGAAGACCATCTGATATCAAAGTGCGAGCCGGCTGAATGCTGCTGGTGAGTTTTTGACCTATATATTTCACTTCCTTGTTTGCTCCTCCGCCCAAAGTGGATCGTGCCTCCAAAAAGGCATAAAGCGTGTCAGAGGAAAATGACCGATATAAAATGTCACTTTATCAGAGCCCCCATGATCTCAATAATTCCCTGGACTTAACGTGACTGGCGGGGCAGTGGGCTCTGGTGTGGTTGAGTGTCACCATATCCTTGGCAGGTCCCCGGGACGGCTAAATGTAGCCATAACACCAAAGTGCTGGGTTGGAGATGACACTTTGGTGTCATCTGTTCACCCCTGTCAGGCAAGTAACACACCCCCGGGCAATAACACTGCAGCTCTGCACATGCAAACATGCTTTGCGTGCATTCTGGGAACCGACCATGCACACACAAACACGAACGCCGCACAAGCTAGACAAATAATTTATGTTTCAGCCAAAACATCCCTGAAGGAAAAGGATATTTAAAGTTATGTGCCACAGTTAAAACAAGAGCATGTTGCCTTCTTCTCTGAGGCCTTTTTATTTAATTCCAAACATACTATTTTTTGAGAGCCACACTTGGTGTGTCCCATATATGAACCAGGTCAGATCAGTCAGAATCTCACCAAGGTTACCTGTATGTTATTAAGTGCAAATAAAGATTCATTTAACCTAGACTACTGCATACCTACAAGAATGATCCACATCAGGTTCCTTATTTACAGTCATACTGATAATATGTGCTAGGCTACAACAACCAGTCCTGAGGACTGGCACAATTTTGAAACCCGCACTATGCCGTGTATTTTCCTGTTAGAGTGAAGATCGTAATAATAAATAGTAACACTATGTCAAAATGATAAATGACTTTGGGCTCATGTCTGGTACATGCCTGTTTGACTGACAGTATAATTATTACACTTAAAAAGTTTCAATCTGCTAGAAATATGGGCATGTGTGTTACATGGTGAATATGTAAAACACTTCTTGGGTGTAAGCTATAAAATTCTGCAAGGAATTAAGGCACACAACCTCGAAATGAGTCACTGCTAATTAGACAGTGATGTTTGTTGTAACTTAGTGCCAATCCAACCATTTTAACAAGTGTACTGTAAAATCAGAATCTAAATTTACACACAGTAGGCTGTCCTGTGAAGGTCAACAAATATTTCAACAAAGACTCTGTAGTGCAAACCCCATCAGAACATGGAACTGGTACTCCTTTAGCCTGTGCGCTACTGCCGTTTGACCTCCACCACTAGGTGGCGCATAAATAAATAGGTTCCAGTGACACATGCATTTAATTGTGTTACATTTTCAACCACTTTATTCTTTAATTTTCAAATAAATAAGGGAGACATTGAGAATAAAAGCAAAGGAGAGGCTAAAGTTATATTGTTATTATGTGGGCTGAAATGCAGAAATGTGAACTGAGCCGATAGAGCACACGCTAGAGTGACAGTATTGTACCAGTGTGTAAACCTCAAATGCTGCTGTTCCTATGCACAATATCTACCATTGTTTAAAGCCCCCTGGTAGATACCCGGGGGAGGCAGATCAGCCTTGCATGTGACACGAGAAGCACTTCCGGTGAGAGCGGGCACACCCCACCAAAGTAAATGTCTCCTGCAGCACTCCATGGAGGATCTCACTATGCAAACAAAGCCACTATCATATGCCTAAAGAACAAGCAGTACTAGACTAAAAACGCCTGTTTGTTTTAGAGTAATTACATTAAAAATGGACTGTAGTCAAACAGGGAATGGAGGGGCGGGACACAAATCAGTAATGAAACCTCTGGTAGTATCGTTTTGCGATAACAACAGGGCTTCGGAGTATATTTGTTACATGTCCTTCCTTACAGGAACACCTGTACTAGAACAAAAGTGCTGATGGCATTTGTTCTTCGCTTTGAAACAAAGCAAATCTGAATGAAATACTGAAAAGAATAGACAGGGGTTCTAGACACCTGCTTATCCCCCCATGACCAACTGGAAATTCCTTCTACAAAGACGAACGGGATTAAATTGCTTTGTTATTCTCAGACACAAAGGAAAGATGCCAGCAGTTTGACAATGCCAACAACAAAGGCTGCTGTCACTGAGAAGGTGTACAATGCCACTCAAAGAGAACACAGCTCAGCAGGTATGAGATCTAAAGCAGCATATTTCGAGGCTTTTCTCACTGGAAACAGACTGTGCTTAATATGTTTATTTACTTTCTGAATCAATGGTCTGTGGAGTTTAGTGGATTAGGTGAGAAAGTCCTAGGAATTATATAGGAAACTGGATGTCGGTTACTGGCGGTATATTCCAAATCAGACTTCGGAGTCTGCAAAAAAAAAACATTCACCCTTCCTGAGAAAGCATGAATGGAGTCTCCTTCAGTCAAGCACAATGACTCATTCCAGCATTTCATCTCCATTTAAACACAAGGCACCAAGGCCAAGGGCAGGCAATAGGGGTTATGGATGAAAAGGGTCTCAGACAGGTCAGTCACAGAGCAGAACAAGAGTGAAAATCATTGACTTAGTTAAACAACAGACTGGATTATTATGGAGAAAACATAGACATCCTTGCTCCAAGAGAATCATGCAGTCTAAAAGCACTGCACATTAGACTAGAAAATGAGATCTCTCTCTTTTGCTTCTTGACCTGCTGATATATATCTCTTACCATTTCTAAATGGAAGAATATAAAATGTACTTAAACTATTCAGCGTTCAGCATTTATATAAATTACGCTTTTAAATCAATGACGTTTTTTGTGTAGTGCATTTCCACAAGCAATATATCATCAGCGTGTGATAAATTTTCCAAAGGAAATGAAAAGAAAGAAAAACCCATTTTGCAAATATGACAATGAATTAAAAATGCCGGACGCTTGTTTTACTGAGGTGTTGTGTTTAAGATTACTAAGATCCCTGATATAACAGCAAAGATTATATAAATTTCAGAGTGTATTTCAAGCAATCAGCTGCACACAGCGTTGAGCCTGCTGCAGTTGGAAGGATGACTGGATGAATGAACAAGTACATTTATTTGATTAGTATATGCTTTTATTCAAAGTGAAAACTGGGAAAGTAGTGCCTGGAGCAATTGGAGTTGAGGGTGCAATGGTAAGAGCATGTTGCTGACCACGGGATTTGAACCCATAACCTTCCTAGTGGAAACACAGTGCCCTAACACGTGCTATACCTGCCACCTCCACCCTCATACACTGGAAAACTTAGTTCGATAGGACAGCTCCAGCCACAACCGGCCAGTTCCTGCAGCAGACTGACATCGGTTTTAAATGTAATAGTTTCATCAATGCAGCGAGAGAGAGAGGGACGAATCAAGCACACCGTCCCTGCAAGGCCCGCCTGTGCAGAGGACGCCGCATTAAACCTGTGCCGGCGCTCACTCTTTACTCCATGACAGCTAATTTCCTGGCTGCCAGCTTGTGCGGACTACAGTTGTATTTAAGAAATACACCTGCGTCAAACTGCCAGGCAAGATCTGCCACGGAATCCAACTTTGGGCATTTGAGAAAGCAGAGACGCGATCAGTAATAAGGGAATAAAACCTATACATCTTGATAGGTGAGACCTAGTAAAAATAAGGAGGGTCTCTTTCAAGGCTGAATAACAAATTCAAGGCTGGTTCTGTGCCCAGGGACGCCATCCTCACTGTCCTACATGCCCTCCACACGCCTTTCATGGATTTATGCATTGAGACGTACCCGCTTAGGCACCTACTTCCAGACAAAGACAGAACAGTGACAGGCAGACGTACGCCCCATAATTTTCGTCTCTCTGGCCCTTGATTTCAACCTCTAAAACTTTTCGACTTTTAAACCAGCTTCTAGGAGATGACAGAGTTGCGCGAATTTGCTTTCACTCATACAAAAAAGCCAATAAAAAAAGTATGGCTCAGCCCATTGTGCATTAGAAAGTTGTGCCACATTCCCAATCTCCCAAAAACAATAAAAGACGGAGCTCTCCTATGGGTCTTCTGGCAGATGATGTCGAGTGAACATTCTCCTTGTGGCTTCCACAGCGTTTTCAGTTTAAAGATTAATCTATGAGAGCTGTATAAGAATGGTTGGGACATTAATATTAATTAAGCAGGGAAACTTGAAATTAATCAACTACACAATTAAAATGCCAGCCACATAAAATCCAGATAATACAAATTACCATATTTGGTGGTCAAATTAAGTGTTTGAAAATAACTACAAAGGAACCACTAAGAAAAAAAAAAAGGAAATTTCATTCCATAAGCTTAAAAGGAGCTAGCGGTACTTACCTTGATTATAACATGTGCTTAAGATTGTCAAGAGACTAAGGAGGCATGTCTAATTTCTGTCTGTCCATCACATATCGCAAAAGCCAATAACACCAAGCGGCAGGGCTGAATGTCTGTGGACGTGGCCTTATCACTTTCCATGTCACCCTAATACTACATATACAGAGAGACATGTACACTTTGCACTGACGTGCAGCGACACATTCCTCCAGACAGGCAGATGTTTTGCAGAGGAAGACACCCAATACTCACATCTGAATTAAAGCGCAGCTGGCAGATGCTGCAGGAAATAACTTGCTTTTTCTTTGGAGGGATGGAGACCCCGAATGTGTGGTTGATCACGGCTTTCTGCACAGGGTCCATCTGGAGGACAAGCACAGAGGAGAAGCGGCGGTTAATGGTAGCCCAGCCCATCCCTGTGCTCATGTTAGAGGAGATCCTGGAGTCCCGGAGAAAAACTGATAAATACTGGTTGAGTTTGGGGGTTTCAGAAAAGGAACCATAATTGTGTTTGGGACAAAATCATGGTAGACAGAATAAACACTACAGATGGATGAAAACAAAGACAGGTGCGGATATAATGAATGGGTTCCTCCTGCTTTAGCATACAGTAGAGATGCTGTGAGCTCTTTGTTTTTCACGCCCTTTAAGATGCCGGTAGCTATTTCCAAACATACCCTCAGGATGCAGTGTCAAGGTGAAGGATAAGGAGGTGTGCTAGATGAAGAGCCAATTCGGTCGCAATGAATCCAGCGCCAAGTAGGTAGATCTGTCACATTCTGAAACAAACCTCATGCTTTCTTCTAGGCACCTGGGGTCTCGCATATGACTTTGGCAGCAGTGCGTCTCAGCAATTACGGGTGAGAAAGCAGAGGAAAATGAACATAACCACAGGCAACTGCAACTCAGCTGACCACCGTCTGATTACGTAGCGACTCAGAGACTGACAGAAATCAATGACAAATAAGTAGCAAGCAAGTTGAATGTAAAAGATGCAGAAAGACAGAGGAGCAAGAAAGGAGTTCGAATGACGGCTGGAAAATCATAGCCGAGTACCTGGAACATGTGTAGGATCTCCATATGGGTTCAAGAGGTGTATGGAAGATAAGCAGTGATCGGCCTCAGGACAGTGGTGTGAGTATACCGCGGTAAGTACCCAGCAGCACTGCTAAACAGTGAATGCAAGGATTCTATTACTCCTTCTGTTTTGCTTCCTCTCCCTCTCTCTCTCTCTCTCTCTTGCTCCTTCTCGCTCTCTCTCTCTCTCCCTCACGCGCACACACCTGCCGGCCTGTCAGCTGATCTTCGGAGACCCTGACTCCTGATTACTACCGAACGTGCGATGAGCGTCTGGTAACGGCGGAGCGCCGGGGTGTCACTTCACTCACGGTGAGAATCAAGAAGCAAGTCCATTAAGAATTTATATGTTATTACTCACAGGCAAGGTGAGTTACAGAAAAGTCAGAGGGCACCACTCTGCCTCCCCTTAAGTAATACGGCTACTTTTAATCTCGGGATGACCGATGATGCTCTGCCGAGTGGGTGCATTTCCCGAACTCGCCCCGTCTGCCCCAAAAAGGCTCCTTTGAGTAGTATGACAGCCCTGAAGACTAACTAAACCTGACAGATGGCCTTTCGTGTGCACTAATGCAGTACACGATTTCAGCACGCAGATACCCAAGGGTGTCCAATAATCGCAGTGGGCTCCGAGGGGCAGGCACTTGAGATCATGTCTCATTTATGAAAACAAAGAGCAGAGCCTCTGCAGGCCTGCCCACATGACAACACACGGTGTTCTGCAAGGAGCCGTTTGGTAATCTTTAATTAAAGCGTCCCGTTATATAATTTCAGGGACAGCGATATCCTTTTATATAAAAATACCCTCACATGAAAGGTAAAGAGAGCACATGACGCTCTGAAAGGCGCCAGCTGCTAGAAGCTCTTTAGCGTACATTTAATTGGCTGTTTGCTTTTTTCCTGACCTTTCTGAACACTATACATCTATAGACTGCGTTAAAAAATGTATTTTACTGCTGTTTTTTCCCCCTGTCCATGCTATTCATCACCTGAATGCTGGAGAAATTCCATTTAAAGGTTAGCTTTTAGCTATCACTCAGGCGTGGTTAATTACATTTCAGCAACAAGCAGCGGCACAACAAGGACAGACTTCAGGCACCTTATTACCGAGCAACCAATCCCGATCCCGTATGTCATCCCTCTCTCCTTACAGATCTACTCAGTGTAATGTAAAAAGTGATTGGAAATCAAGTCCTGTTTAAATATTACCTTCCTGGCCACTCAGTGTGCCAACTAGGACTGCAGTTCTATCGAAACACCAGCAGAAGAACATGAGCATGTTAAAATAAACTTAAAAAAAAAAAACAAACAGGTCAATTGCAGGAAAAAGAAAACTGCAGGGAAAGTGAGCGGAGCACTGGGTCGATGGCAGCGTCCCGAAAGGAGGGCGTTCTGAAAAGCGAGGCTGTATCCAAGGTCTGCTGGCGATCCACAGCAATGGCTCACGCATCTCAAGTTAGTTGAAATGAAACTTAATTTGCTATTTGTACAGGTACAAAGGCACAAGGTCACTGGAATTTGTCTCGATTTGGTCAAGGTTTGAAAAGAACCGACAAAACTATGCCATACAGAAACAAAGATGTGTCCAGGTTGTTACTATTAATTTAATAAACTTAAATAGATAAGAAAGATAAACTGGGAAGACAGATGGATCCAATCTAAAAGCCCATTAAAGTAGGATCCATTAGAAGCAAGCAAAACCAGGTTTCTGTTTTGAGAACATAATCCAGGATAACAGCACCGTAAATCCTAATGGTGTATCCCTTAGCCACATGCCCTACACATGTTCTCCTGGCCATGCTCACGAAGAATGCCGTTCCAGCTCTAATGCATGCAGACGAGGATGTCGTTCCATTGATTTTGCAACGAAGAACACTGTTATCTTTGAATCTGAATTAGTACCTCTGTTTCGATAACTTTGATTTGTTCTCAAACAAGCGCAACCAATTCCTAGTGTCTGCAGGAATTTTAATGGGCTGTGGGCACCATTGTGTGTGTGTCCAATACTGTACAGAGCAGAGTAACCGCAGACAACTGAATGACACCATACCGTGCCAATGATTTTTAACTATGCCACGGCCCACTCAATGAATCAGCCTGAAAATTTTATCCATTCCATATTTTTAACTGCGTCTCAGAAGATCAAAGCCGGATAGATGTCTTTCAATAATCTAATAAATCTTTAAAAGCTTTTAACGCAACCCAATTCATTGCCTTTAAAAGGATTAGCAGTGATATTTTAACCAGCTGGCTTGAATTTCATATGAGGAGAGGGTCCACCGTTTAATGCATTGTCTGTTTACATATCCGAGTGTAACGATGGATTCAACACTCCATCTATCCCCACAGTGCTAATGAAAGCCCACAGAACGGATTATGTGCTAATACACTAAAAATAACAGAACTGTTAAAAATAAGTTTTTCCCCTTAGCATGAAAAATACAAGGCAGTGATCAGGGTGCCGCTTTCTTTAAGTTACGTTTAGTATAAGATGTGAACCACTTTGGACAGCAAGAGCTGATGACACTAACTGCTGATTTTGATATTTTTAGCACTGAAAAACAACAGCTATAAGTCATATAAAGCCCTGTTTATTACTTTAAATCAAAAGTTTCTTTGATCAAAGGATTCTTTAAAACTATGAAACAAGTAAAAGATATTTAGCGATAATGGTATGTTAGCGATCGGTCAGGTTTGTGAAGCCTGGGATGAATTCACATTAATGATGTCAGATATTTTCTGGCCTCGATCCACAGCTGCTCTTGTTACCATGGAGAAGAAACACAATCATCATGAAGGGTGGCATGGTCAGCATATGAATAGCTAACTTTCTTAATCAAAAACAGCCAATCATTAGTTCTTATAAAAGAAGATAAAATCTCAAAATAAGGTCCGCAGGAATGTCAGCAAATTACATACATTACTTACTGCAACCAAATTAAAAGAACGATAACCTTTCTCATTTGTAGGAAATACTTCAGCTGGTGGCATCATTATACTGAGATTACATATAATTGAGTTCTCTTTCAATACTGTGATTACAGCTTTGAGCAGCAGTTAATTTCCAGCAATAGCAGTACTGCAGTTCCTTTGTTCCTTGAGACAACAGAAGCTGAGCTAAACACACTTATTTGAGAGAGACTGATTTTGACAGGCTGCCATGTCCTGAAGCGAGACTTCTACTTCCACTGTCACATCAGGCCTTAGGAGGGCTGCAGAGAGGCTAGCAGTACAGCCAACACACAGTTAAAGAAGACCAGCCCCTCAATTTCTCTGAATGTTTAAGTTCATCAGATCTCTCCACTACCTGCCGACATCATGAAACCTGCATTTTGGGGAAAGAAAGGCAAAAATCAATTTTTACTCCTCTCTGGTCAAAGTGGACATTGCTTTCAGGATGGGTGCGGGCAGCGGATCGATGCCCAAGGGCCTTCACTTCGCTCAGTATGCAAGCAGCATCTCTGTCACACATGCACAGACTTTTTAAATTGACTCACTGATAATTGCAAATTAATAGCTAGGAGCTGAACTCTGCCTGCAGCACCAGATCTTTGTAGTCTTTCTGAAGTAAGGGAGGTATTGTTCTCCGTTTCCTGTTTGCTGATGACGACACAATTGCACACCGCTACTGTTGAAATGTCGCAACAATCTGGCCTTTGAAAGTCACACTCGGACCGCCGAACGCTGATGGCACGTGAGGTGGGAGGCGCCGTGAAGGCGAGCACTAGCGCTACTTACACTATGACTTACGCCAAGCTTACCGTGTTGAAATTGGGGAAGAGCCCAGCTGGAGAACTGGTATCCACTGAGAAGGACATGAACGGTTTCATATCGAGCGTGGACTGCATCATCAGAGGAGGTGTCCGCACCAGAGCAGGAAGGGTGTTGCTATGGCATGAACTTCCTGCAAAGACAGCGAGAGGAGAGAGAGCAGAAGGGAGAGGTGACACAGGCGCATTTGACGCAGAGAGGAAGATCTCCGGCACTTTCTTCTCAGAGCTCTACAGTGGCCCGCTTAGGATGAGGGGCACAGCCCAGTGCGGGCAGGTTTCTGGCAGAGGAGCTCGTCGGTATGGGGATGTGAACATGGCATGCAGATCACTTTGCCCGGTAGGGTGTTGTGACCCAGGCGGTATCTCCTGGCTGTGAGGATTCAGCTGCAGGCCCAGGAGGCTACTGCAGCCCGACCTACTGCCGAACTCACAACACCTACGTTACGTTTGTGACACTCAGACACATCGACCCGCCCAAACATCTCCGTCAGCATCCAGGAGCCCTTCTGGGTGTCAGCAGCAGTTGCACACTGAGCCTAACTTTTGCACTTTCACCAAACACAGATGTGAGAGTGTTTGCTTGTGCCCTGAAATGGGCTGACATTCTTGTTTCAGGGTGTAGGCCGGCCTTTGCTGCTGTGTATAGGCTCCAGACCCCACCCCTGCATCCCTGATCAGGATAAGTGGTTATAGTGGATGGATGGATTGATAGCAGGCACTAAGGAACTATGCACTAGTTAATCAAGATGCATGCAGTGATGCATGCCAGACCGCACGATCTCAACCACAAGAGCTGCCAACCAGCTGGAGGAAAACAACGACCAGATGTTCAACCAGGAAATACAGATGACACGCAAGACCCCTTTTACCCTTTTTTTTTTTTGTAAATGCATGCATGTGGAGCGGCAGCAATCCAAATGATTTAACGCTTTCTGGAGGAACGGGCCACCTGTTTAATTCCTTGAAGGCTCAGGATCCAAAAAAATGCCAGATGCATATAGCACACGCACAGAGCATTGCAACACTCCTGCTGAATATTGTGCCCAGGAGATTTGAGATTCTCCTCTCTGCCACGGTGAAAGTCAGTGTCTCAAGTCTTGCACTGATTGGGCAGTGATCACCAAATGCATCACAAGCCTGGGGCATTGGGTGCTGAAGTCCTGAATGAATCTGAAAGAGCCTTGAGTGATTTTTTTTTTTGTCTATTTTTTTTTGTTTTAACAACCCTGCTCTCAGTTTGAGAATTCCACACACCACAAAGGTTCTACACCAGGGCTGCGTTTCCCAAAACCTTCACAGTGCTGCGATCATAGAGAGAGAATTCAACATGATGACCCTCGGACAGATTAGGTCTTTGGGCTTAAGCTCCTGATGTCTTAAGATCCTATCGACGTCCCTAGTGATCGTCACTGTCACAGCCTCGGCGGTTCAACATCACAGCTTCGCTGCTCTTATCCTGACTCTGGCAAAGCTGAAAAATGCACCACAGCACAGAAGGAAAATCAGGCAAAGAAAGCAATAAATGATCCATAATACAAAAGCAAGGGAAATTACAGGATTTCTGCTGAGGGGGCAGGAGTTACAGTGATTAATTTCACATAAATTAAAATTAAAAATTTGAATTAAGGATTTGGAGACATCACATACAGATTTCTACAAAAAGCCTGGGAATACAGAACATTGTTTACATACAAGCAGGAATAAATCTGCAAGTTGACGCAGACAAGCCAGTGTCTCAGCAGTGAACCACCCTTCCAGAAAAACGCAGGCAAGCACCTAATGTTCAGTTAGTTACATGCAAGTACCTAATGTTCAGTTAGTTACATGCAAGTACCTAATGTTCAGTTAGTTACATGCAAGTACCTAATGTTCAGTTAGTTACATGGCCCCGTCTGTGACATTAAGGTTTTTAAAAACATAAACCAGAACCAATTACGAGATGATCAGTGTTTAGCTGTTTATATTTAATTAGGGAATGACTAACTCGTAAATTGTGCATCGAAGTACATTTCATTTAAAGTGATAGCAAGTAATCGCGGAGGAAGTACTGACATTTGAAAGAATGAAATGAAGAAAAAAAAATTTGTAATGAAAAGTAATCTTATTACCACTTACACAAGGCCATTGTCATTATAACTTTAACAGTATTTAAAGGAGGGTGCGTGTCCCTCCTTTCACACACATATATACTGTATGCCCAGTACATAAAATACAACATAAAGTTATTCAAAGGCATGGAGCTGCACTAAACAAGAACAATGAAAAGAGAAATAGGCAGAATTTGTACGAAAAATTAGTCTCCCCTACTAATATGCTTCTTTTTACTTATTGGTATCGTACATACATGTAATAATATCTAATAGGTACTATGTACGATTGTGTATATATTGAATACACTATGTATGTGCATAAATGACTATGCGTGCGTAAATGATTACCACAAACAAGACAGCTTTTTGAAATGAGAAGACTGAGTTCTGCCAGCTTCGCTCAAGGCTGCTAAATCAAAGGAGGGAATGTGGCTTTTTCTGACCTCATTCCAGTTTTTCATCTCTTTTGTGTTGTACTTCAAGTAATTGTGGAGAGTGTGGGGAACAATGGTTGAAGACTATTAGGGGGCACTGTGAACTCGTCTTCCCCGCTGCTGCCTCTGTGATCAGGATTGTATCTTGGTTTTCTTAATGGTGGTCAAGGCCAGCCATTAACTCTGATGACAGCATGGGCCCTGGCTCCACAATGGCCTGTGATTGTTCATCAAACTAAGATGAAAGAGCATAACACTCCTGTGGTCCCTGTGTGGGCACGTTTGCATGTAAGGAGGGTTATTTGTGTGTGTACACTTGTTTTAGTCCTTGTGTACCTTCAAGTGATTTCTTTAATGAATGATCAGTCCACATACTGTATGTGTGTGTGTGTGTGTGTATGTGTGTGAGGGGAACTTCAAATTAAATTGCCTAGATTAATTTTTCAACCCCCTTCTAAGAAAACACAAAGGCTTATGCGAATTGGGGGTTGTAGTGATTCACATTGCCAAAGAGGTCAAGTTCAACAATGGGGAATAATTGTCACAGCGGTCTTTTTTATTCCACAGAACAAGTCAACGATAGAGATGTAGATGTAGATGTTGACCTTTTGCTTCTCAACCCACGTCTCCTAAAATACCTCATCAATTCAGGGAGAAAAACCAATTAAGAGCAATGCTTGTTACCTGGGTAACAATGCTGAGTACAGCTCGATAGTGCAGAAATATTACGGCAAAAGGAAAGGAATTTTATACATCGAAAGAGTGTGGCATAGAGAGAGAGCAAGGAAGACAAAGAGTGCCTTGCAGCAAACATTTACATTGTGAAAACTGTTTAAGCATAGAGAGCAAAGATACTTGAAAGCAGGGCAAAATGTCTAGAAACTTCTGGTTTGGATACTATCAAATATCAAATTCATATATGACCATGTTCCGAAAACACACGCCCAGATCCTGACAGTGGAGTCCAAACTCGGCCAGAGCCCTTTGTAAGACCCAGTCTTCTTGGCTTATTTCATGTCCCCTTCGGTGACACCGAAACTGCTGTCTTCGCTTCTTGTTCCTTTACACTGTTTTATGAAACACATCTTCACTCCTGTACTGAAATGAAGCCCCTATTCCTTGCTCCTATTCCTGTTCCACATGGTTCTGCCTGCCATCTCTCCAGCAGCGGGTCATAGAGGTACATTACACGTATTCATTAAGGGCTTCTGTCCTCTCTATAGTGACCACCCACGGGCTACTGTGAAGAGAAATACCTCATTAGCAAGCAGTAGAGTCTGTCCTCTGCTTAAAGTTTCTACCCTTTCTTGTAGGTACTCGCACTTACAAGTGTGAAGACTTGATTATGGATTATGAATCAGATGAAAGGACATTACGTCAGGAGGTAGAGAACAACCGAAAGTTAATTATGGTACTTCCTCTCCTTGGACACGGTTTGTGAAATCAGTGAGTAACACTAAAAGTTTTCATGAGAAAATCTGGCATTAGTCCTCCAGGTAAAAATACACAATAATGTAGCTGCAAGCAATGTGAATTGCAGATCCTGGTTCATGTTTTATAAGCCTCTGTTTCACATCTTTTGGAAATAAATCCCTTAATGAGATACGCCATTTCAGAATATGTCTACAGAGCCTATCACAGAAACAGTCTGCTGTCTTTTACAGAAAAAAAAATGTAAAGATATTATAGGCACTGTATGGTTCAAGAGAACCATACAGTGAAAAACCAAACATCGAACAGCCGGGGCTGTGCTGTGTCCGATGCACGTCGCTCTCGCTTCTGCACAGGGTGGCGTCCTGTTTGATCAGCATCCTGTGTGAAGTTCAGCCCGCTCACACTGACCACACTCAAGCACTTTCATAACTCTGCCGTGACCCTTATCAGAGACTCCCTTTGCAACTGAAACAGCTTGCAGCTCCACAAGCCCCTGCAGCCTCCAGGCAGCCCAAAACTACAGGAAAATCAGCATGAAAACTGGGCCAACTTTACCTGTCCCCACGCCTCCCCCATCCATGCAGTGCCAACCACAGCCTCTCCACTGCACAGCGTCTATCATCTCACTGGAGTGTGCAGCCCAGCCCCGCCTCTGGGACTCTCCCAGTTTTTGCGATAGGCTTTTCAAAGAGACTGAGCACATTAAAAAAAAGAGCAGCAGATGTCTTTGCTGTGCATATATATTTCTAAATGTTTTTTTATCCCCTCGGTTGCCAGAGGGATGTGAATGTCTAATTTCACACTTCACTTTCCCCCCAGTACAGCTGGGTGTCTACTGTGTTTAAATTTTTGAGCACAACAGCTGTCTTTATCCTGGAATTTCTAACAGCCAACCAACCCAGTGCCTCACCAGCACTAAATCCAGCTGCAGTGGTATTTCTCTCAGTTTCATATATTAACCCCCTCCACCGCCAAGCTATTACAGGGGGCTGTGACATTTTCTATGCACGGCGAAGGTCTTCAGGCTCCCGTGGCGAGGTTGACTTTCGACTTACGTTTCCTCACGACCATTACGACCTCTCCACTCAGAATGGGCTAGACGACTGCGAATCAAAAAGAGCACGGCGGGATATTTTTTTTTCTTTTATCAAAGGTTAGCGGGACCTCTGCTTC